CCCCCCCCCCCAACGTACCCGTAGTGAATGGCCCTTACCATAGAGAGTGATTTGGCTCCTTCTACAGTAAAAGTGTCTCCAGATGCACATTCCACTCCAAATAAGGCACATATATCGCCAGCACCAGCCTCTTGAACATCCTACGAAGGAGTAATATTAGTAATCGTTAAAAAAAAATTGTGGGCTACTAAAATATGTGCTCCATTAGACTGTGAACAGGCCCCTACATTATCAGCGTTTTAGGCATTACGGTTTAAAGGTGATTTAATTGGCGAGAATTTACAAGAACTTGAGCAATGTATACCCCTCCTCTAGCCCAACTTGTTGTCAGTTGACTGTTGTTGGTTTAGGGAAGGAGTAGGTGCGCAGTTCCTCAGACACTGACATTGATCCATCCTGTTAACCCTTTAATTCCTGAGAGTGATCAGCATCTAATTTCTCCTTTCAATATCACCCATGAATCAAACATTAAGGTTATGAGAATAAAAAAAATGATAATTAAACAAAGAACCTCTTGATTGTTAAACAAATTCTCCTTACCAGCACGTTAGGAAATGTATAGAGACCAGTCTGGAGAATGTGCATACTGATGTTAGGGTTAATCAGAGTTAGTCAGCCTGTTTTCCTTGATTGCATCGTTAGGATTCAAAAACGACGATAAGATTTTCATATCGTCGTATTTTTCGGTTACCTCCATAGTGTCCGAATGCATTCGGACGATCCTTGGCACCTTAAGGCGTTTCCCGGTCCGAGTATTTACGATATAAGCCCCTCGCTTTAACAAGCCTTGGTACACTCTGAGGTAAGTCAGCTGACCGTATCTTCCGGCCTGTAAGGAAATCAAACAGACGAAAACGTAATGAAACTTCGGTGAAAAGGGCTCGACTATTCAGCATACTTGGCTTTCATTGCAGTAAGTCCCGTAATCTTTTAACACCTTGCAGTGACCGTGAGACCCGGAAAACTAAGAGCACCAAAATTTATTTGAGTAGTGAGATCAAAGAGCGCTTGCTCGCACTTGCAGAAATTACCTCTCATCATTGGCCTGCAGAGCAGGCGTAATTTTCGCGAGCGAGTGCCAAGTCTTTTCTCGTTGAAAGCTGTGGCTGCCATCTTTGATTTTCACGGCAGAGGAAGGCTAGGGTAAGAGAGAAATTTGTTCCAAGGGGGTGAGCGACGGTCAAAGGAAAGGAGAGGGGAGGGAGTGGGGCAATAGAAATTTCCCAGTCTCCCCACCTTCTGCTGTAACCCTAACGTGCTTGTTACCTGCCCTAATAAGACGCATGCGCTGCAAGCAGTCAGTTATTTATTCCATAGAAGTGGTTTACATACAAAACTCTTTATTTAACACCTCACCTCGAGCTTGAAAGCCAGACCCACGAAGGGATGAGAAGAACTCCTTTCACTGCTCATCTCCACTTGTTCTCCAGCACTACGATAAAAAAAAATCCACTTAGACAATAACAATTCCATGCTTTGTGTTTTGAGCTTGTTTATAACCGAGATTAATGAATAAAGGGTGTAAGTTTCTAATGAGACTGTAGTGCTGCATTAGCGAGGGCTATTACAAGATAGGGTAATTTAGCATTATCAACTGAGCTGATAACATAAATTGGCCACCGTTAAGAGTTTCAAAGCTGACATTTCGAGCGTTAGCCCTTTGCCATTTGTTCTGACGAAGGGCTAACGCTCGAAACGTCAGTTACAATCTCCTGTAATACTCTCCCACCGACGCAGCACCACAGTTTCTTTAGAAACTAACTCCCTTTAGGTATTACGAGATATTTCGGTTTCATCAACGGAGTCCATTGACCCTTCACTCTAACAAAGGGCTAACGCTGGAAATGTCAGCTTTACAATCTCTCCACGGTGACCAATTTACATTACAAACTTAACTCGAGTTGAGAAAACCAAATCATCTTGTCATAACAGAGATTAATGGGCAAACATATTTATATTTCTTCAAGGCAGTGGTTGTTTGTTGTTCGTGATCTGATAGTTTCTCTCTAATATCTCTGGCTTTCACAAAAACTAAAACTTCGAATTCCAATTCAACTTGAAAACTACCAACAAGAGAAAATCACGTAAATATCCATCGCTAAATCCAATCTATTATGTAACAGTAATGTTTTCATCTGAATTATTTTCTGTTTTCCCGATCTGTGAAATTAACCCTTACTCTAAGTTTCTTTGAATTTGCAGAGACATAAAACAATCTTGTTACAGTAAATTAAACATCCCTTTTATAAACTCACGGGTCTTTAAAATAATAATTATTTCGAAACGCAGCTGTCCTAAATTTCCTGACAAGTATCATGTTGTATACATTAACTACACCTAAAAATTATATTTGTAACGGAGCAAAGAAATTTGACTTCTTACTTTTCAGCATCCAAGGCAAAATTTGTCACCTCAAAAGGTTCAGGCAGGTAATCCACAACACCATCAAGGAGAGGCTGATGGATAGAAAAACATTTTTAATACAGTGAGACCTGTTGGCGTGTCCAATACATTCACCTTATTAGATGGTTTAACGTATAATACATATAATATTTTGCGAGTTGTGTTGTCTTTTTCGAAGCCTCGTCGGGGCGAAGAAAAATAGAATCGATGAGCAAAATGTCCACTCGTATACTTCTTCCTCTTCATCTGATCTATTTAAAAACAATCTGCTCTTTTTAGCATGATTTCGTCTACAACCTTACGCATCCTTACATTTCAGAAATATTTAGTTATTCTTTAGAAAAACATCACTATTATACAACGTCCTCAGCGGCTGGCAACTCCTATCTTAAACATTCGAGAACAGAACTATGAAAAATTATTTTCCAGACTGGGCGCAAGGATCTGGAATAGCATTCCCACCTGTCTTCGTTCTCTACCTTTGTATAAATTTAAAAGACTATTGTATAGACAGCTGCTGAACATTTGGATGCGAGAGGATACTTAGTTGATGTTTATACTTTAATTGATAAATTTAGGAAATTACAATCTTTTCAGTTTCATTTCTTGTTGATGTTGTTGTTGTTTTTTTTCGCGTGTAATTTTATTCCAGTTGTAATATGAAATGCCCATTTGGCTTATCTGTAAACTATTGTGAACTGTTTTTCATTGTTCGTGTATATGAAAGCTCTCCTTGTCATTTCCTTTGTTCATTCAAACTTGTTATTGAAGAATTTATTTTTGTGTGTGTTTCCCTCCCGCCTCGATTAGCTTCGCTCTTTTGCAGGTAGGGATTGTTTATTATGTATTTTGCTAAAATATTGCCAAAATAAAAAAATTTTGTTTGTTTTCGTTTCTTTTGTTATGTTAAACCATTGTTGTTTCTCTTTCTAGGATTTTGCCTCCAAGTTACGACATTCATCCTACTCGGCCTTATCTATGCATCGTATTGATCAAGTCCTCTGTGGCTTTGAGGTGGAGCACGCATCTGGTTAAAAATAAGGTGATCTGACTGGGGTTCAGTAACCTTCGCCAGCAACTACAGTTATTCTCTGACGAATCTTCTTGTTAAAAAAAAAAAAAAAAGAAAAAAAAAAGAAGAATGTTCCATTCTTTTTTCAACCATTTATATAGCAGACACTGACCTGGACCCCCTTGTTCTTCAGTGCAGACCCAACAAAAACTGGAGTGAAGCATCTCCTTATGGTCGCTCGGCGAATGGCAGCCTAATACAATAAACATTTCTTTGGGTAAATCTTGGACGGAGTTCTTGTTGTGCGAGTTTAAAGCAATCTTATAGTATTATCAAGCCTTATTCAGCTGCAGTTACATCAGTGGCGGATCCAGACCTTGAGCTAAGGGGACGGGGAGGGGGAGCCTGCCGGCTTTTCTTCATTCTGCGATTCCTTACAATTCAAACCCACTGCAACATAGACTCAAGGGGTACGTTTCGAAAGAAACTGTGGTGCTGCATTGCTGGGAGAGTATAACAAGGTAATTTGGTATTATCAATTGTTGAAATTGGTTGATAACGCAAATTGGCCACCGTTAAGAGTTTCAAAGCCGACGTTTCGAGCGTTAGCATTTCGTCATTCGCTCAGACGAAGGGCTGACGCTCGAAACGTCAGCTTTGAAATTCTTAATGGTGGCCAATTTACGTTATCAACTCAGCTGATAGTAACAAATGACCTTGTTAGAATCAACAGTATTTGTGTTATATGATAAAAACGTAAAATGTCGTTGATAGTGATATAATCTGTACGTCTGTTCTATATATCATGGGCATGAACCACTCAAAATGCGTATGTAATTCAGCCCAATATAGAGGGAGGAAATCTATCGAATATAAAGCTCAATCCATCTATCTATATACCAGCCCTAATATTTTCAAAATACCTACAATTAATTGTTCCTCTGTTGGTGGTATTTCTTCCAGAAACATCTCCGCAAGAGTGTCATCCACATTAGCCACAGTTTCTAATGATTACAAACCACAGCACTTAACAGACGATAATTTGGGGATACTAAGTTTATCCAACACTAAATTCTCTGAACTAAAATGATAGGAATTGCATAGTTGACAGTAAGGAGAATTACAAATTTGATCTGGGAGTTGAAGGGTTAAGCACTTTAACAC